CACACACCCACACCTACACCCCCACACCCTATATTGCAGAATGGAGAGCTATTGATATTGATAGTGAAACAATATTTGTTAGGATCATATTAGAGCCATTAAAGGGACATCAGCGAAAGAAAATGAAAGAAAGAGAAAATGGAGAAAAAGTGACCTTCATGGGATTCGAACCCACACCTCCTGCTATCCGGGCATTTATCCTAAGCCAGTTAGACTAGAAGGACCAACTTAATCTCTAGATTAGTGTCGTGTGATTCACACAGACGCTAACAATATTACTTAAAATAGCTGCTACAGAAATTCGCCGACGATATCGTCGTAATACTTTTCTTCTACACACATTTCCTCAATATACAACTCTGAAATTGTTGGAATGGAATAATGAGAATTTACTTTTCGAACAAAATGAAGATACTATGATTCAAAATGTACGGTTACCAGATGATACATTCCGAGCGATTACAGCAGCTTTCGAAGCAGAAGATGGAAAAGCTACTATTTGGCCAGGAGAATATTTCTAATTAAATATTGTTGTCCTTTTTCAATCTTTTAGTAGCTGCATACTGAGTATTTCTTATGTACACATGATGCAATTACATGGGAATTTTTTCAATTTTTAAAATAAAGAAAGGAAAAAACACAAGTGCATTAATTGCGGTGGAAGATTTTTCTTTCTTTCTTTCTTTTTACATATAAATTAACCGTCAGAAGGTGAGTTATATTCACGAAGCAACGAGAATCATTACTTTTCTTTTCTTTGAATTAAATTTAAAATACATTGAAAAGTTGCGACATTATTCATTCGATCGAGTAGATACCAGAATTTATTACGATTTCACTGATTTTGTAAAGAAAACATAATGGCATCGAATGAACCATTCAATTGTTGGAGTGTTAAAATTATGCCCATTCCTGCAGATACTGCAGTTACTCAATTAGCTCAAGTAATAGGTCTGCCAACTACGCGTATATGTCTTCCTAAGACTGATTATGCGTGGATTAATGACTTTGTCAGTAAAGAAGAAGCCGATAATTTTGTAATGAAAACTTCAGGTTTATGTATTTTTGGTGCAACTATTAAATGTGTTACAGTTCCACCAAAAAGTGACAGAATGGACAAACGTCGTCTATCGCGTCAATTAAAAGCGTCGTCTATCGGATCATTGGATAATATAGCAACTCAACCTCAATCTAATCGAGACACTGCAAGAAGACCAAATGATAACAGTCTCTCTGGTATGCCTGTATCTCTTATGTCAATCAATGCGAGTGGAAGACCTAATTTTATAAAAGATAATAAGAAACTAGACCAAACATATCAATCAATATTAGGACCACGTCAACTGTCATCTGCTCATAACCGTTTTGAGAATATAAATGTTAGTTCTACAAACCTATCCTCTAATTCACCCACACCCACACCCACCCCAGGCAAAACACTGCTTTCAGAATCTCAATCAACACTTCGTATACCAAGTCCAGCTAGACCAAGACCTTCTTCAGTACAAAGCACCGCCCAACCAGTAGTAGGTACTGTGAAAATGTGTCCTCAAGACATTCGATGTTTTAACGCTGATTGTCAACTCGATCATCCAAAAGGCTGGAATCCATGTCAGAATGGAGTGCAATGTCGTAATTATGACTGTATAGCCAAACATCCACCTGGTCGCAAAGGACGATGTCGTAATGAGGATCAATGCAAGAATAAAAATAATTGTGAATTTTTACACTCAACTATGCATGCAACTGTAATTGAACTGAGTGATGCCGAGCAGAATTTTCTTAAAAAATTTGGTAAAAAAATTCTAGATCAAATTCGTAAAGATCCAGGTATCAAAGATGTTCAATTTGAAAATGATAAACTTCAATTAATAGGAAATACGTCTGCCATCATAAATATAAAATCTTATTTAACAACAATACTTTTCAAACAAAATGCTACGATTACGTCTGCTGTAAGAAAATATTTAGAAGGACGTTTATTAACAAAGTTTTTAGAAAAATATCACGTCGGAATTTCTTTTAGTGAAATTAAGGAAGAAGAAGCGTTTGAGGATGCATCGTCAAATATTACAACTACTTCTGTCACTCGTAAACCTCGTCTTGAACAATTTACGCAAGTTACATTATGTAGTGATTTAGAAGATTCATTAGCTAAAGCCATCAAAGAATTAAAAAGTTATACTTTGGATATTCAATCATGGATATTAACACAAAATGAAAGTGAATTTATTTTAAAAGAATCACAGAAAGAGAAACCTGTACAAAAAAGGATGCCAAATCATCAATTGTCACTTTGTATTGAAAAGTATTTGATTAATCTGGTTCAATCCAAAGAGAATTCTGCTGTAAAGATCAATGTGAAGTATATAAAAGGTGTATACAATGTCAGAGTGAAGGGATTCAAAGTTTATGTTAATAATGCTGTATCGAAAATAAAAAATTGGTCGAATGATAATATTGAAACTGAAGTACAACTTCCTATATCGAAAACAATGGGAATTTTCCTTCGAACAAAAGCTTCATTTGATCTTAAAAAACTGGAAAAAATTTATCGTATTAAAATAACAACCATGTCACCACCTAAGCGCAAACTTGCCGATGATGAACAAGATGATAATGATCATGATTGTTTAAAACTGACTGGGTCTGATTCACGCATTAATTCTGCTCAAGTACATGTGGAAAATTTTCTCGATAGTTTAGCTCAACAAGAAAAACATTTTGATTGTCCCAGTTGGGATATTTCAAAAAGTATTTCACAAACTCTTCGTATGCGTCTGAAAGCAATGGCAACTTCCGATGATTGTGAAGTAATTGGATGGCTAAAATTATATACACCAGTCGAAAGAAGAGATATAACACCGAGAATTACTATGACTATAGTTGGTTTCGATCAAGAAGCAGTGGATGGCTTGGTCGAGCAATGTCAAACTATTATA